CCTAAAGTACTTAAAGAATCACCAAGGGCCTAATATATATATATTTTTTAAAGGTAATCAAATATTTTATTAATCAATGCATAATACACGGGAAGTGTATCATCAATTTAAATTAAAAAGTAACAACACGAAATTAGGCAGCCCGTCTATATGCCTAGTAGCCGCAACATTAAACCAAGATACAATGTCAAATAAAATAATTTTCGTATCTGTTGTGTTGTCCGTGTTTGGTCTTCAAAACAGCGACTATTTCTTTCTCTCCACACACATCATACGATGCAGCCCAGAATAAGTCTTACAAGTTTGTTATCCTTGTCTCGAAACTTTCTCCTCCATGCCTTTAACATGTCCTCCATACGCCTCGGCAACACCCAATTCATGTGTTGCGAGGCCAAAATATCGTTCCACAGTAAACGAGCAACATCACAATGAAAGAACAAGTTATCAATCATCTCCTCATCCCTCTTACACATATAGCACCACCATGTAACATAAAACCCCTTGTACGAAGGTTATCCACCGTTAACAATTGTCCATGGAAGATATCTTCAAACCAACTTGAGGGGAGTGTTGCAAAGGAGAATATTATGCTATAACTGATGACTGATTTCTAGGGATTAGTTATGTTGCAAAGGAGGATACTAACTGATAGATGATTTCTTAGTATTATGTTAGCTGTAATTTATATTTAATATAGGTATAGTCAAATTCACAAACTAGGAATGTAAACTGTACAGTTATTCTATTTCCTATTTTTACTGTTTTGTATATGTAAATGTACACATGTATTTGATTTTCAAAGGAAATACAATTCCACAGCAATTTCCTCTTATTTTCTAGAGCTACATTTGTTAATCTTGTCCATTAGTTGGTAGCTCAGCATTATGCATTACACATGTATGCATTTTAGTCTACTGGTTACTAGTCATGAAATATTTGAGCTTGGGAAAGATAAAAACAGGGGGACTCATATGGTCACCAGGTGGTCAATGAATGGGATGTTGGCCCTAATCAATGCATGCATCAGGTACCAAGAGCTGTTGATAGTGATAAACTGAAAGTTACGATCGATAAAACATATTGATAGTAAGTTGACAATTTAAGGGACACGACGGCACAAGTATAACAATTAGTAAGGGAGACGTGAGTTACTATATGTATGTAAATATCATGCTGAGCGCTCAGTGAACAATAGTGATTGCTTGAAGGGCCCAAAGAGAGTCAGTTAAGACATTCATGACATGGCATGAATCATACATGTAAACATAAAAAGTATACTGCTCACTAAGCATTGTTGTTCATGACCTATATGCTCAGGTAATCATAGTTGTTTTATTTTGAAGTGGGAAAAAAAAAAAACAAGTAGGAGCATTCGACTGATCGCAACAAACTGCACTTGAGTTACCACCAGTGCAGCGGCGGATCTAGAACCCGACGAGCTCCGACAACCACCTGTGCTGGATTCACCGGTATTCAATTTTTTTTAGGGTCATGTATTTATTGTTCGAATATATATCTGGGATTTCCGTTTTTTCACAAAGGCTTCTGTGATTCAGTTGGTCTGAGTACCTTACAAGTATACCGAAATCTTAGGTTCGACTCTCAAATTAGTCAAATATAACAATTTTTTTAGGGTAAAATTTCTCACCATTTTGGAGCATATAGTTATTATAAAAATTGGTGCAATTGGAGTATTCGAACCTGTGAACTCCGTTGGAATTA